TTCAGTGAATGTGTGCAGCTTTGCGTTAGTACGGCGCATTTTCAGTGAATGTGCATCGTTTCGCGTTAGTACGGCGCATTTTCAGTGAATTCGTTTCACACACACCAGCTGAGATTCCGTTAGCATACACTTACTGAGATGCCGTTCAGGGGCCATACTTTTCAAAACTCGCTAAGTGAACGTAAGTACTTACGCTCTATTTTCTTGTCTCTGATTAGTGGATTTTGCTTGAAAGGCCGTCAATGATTGGCTGATGAACTTACGATCTCTTAACTTTTTTGAAAGTATGGGCCCAGCAGAAGCTGCTTTATTGTTGCGCTAATCATCTTAAACTTTAACGATACATGAATATTGAAAGGACTAATATTTGAGTGATTAAAACAGTGTCTTTAGCAAGCTGTTCCTTCAATGGACGAACATAACAACTTACAGTATTGGTGCTTAGTTAAAATTCTTAGTTTTGAGATGAACAATAAAACTTTTAGACAGTTATTCATTCTTAAATGAAACTAAAACCTTTTCTCTCAAATTCTAGAAAAAAGAAATAGTTACGCCCAGTTACAAAGAGGCCATTAATTCAGAACTGAACTTTGATTTTCCTCACCCGATTTAAATTTTTATTATTATGCATAAACTGATTTTTATTTGGATTGGAATTATTTATTCACCACGAATCCAATATAAATAAGTAATAGAAACCCACCATGTGTATGGCGCCAGAGAAAATGCTAGAAACAAAGGAGTTCGTTCAAAATCCTACAAATACCAGTCCTTAAGAGACTGGAATCTAAGACTAAGAAATTTTGCTGCTTGTAGGGAGTTGTTCTGCATAACGCCGGAAAATTCTTAGAATCTGAATAATTTTTTGTTGTCCTAGAATATGAAGAAGACTTTAGCGTCGTCCGCACTGTGGCTTAATGTAAGCTTTATTTTCATTGGCAAGGTCATTCAAATGAAGAGAAAAGGTTTTTTTGTATATTATGTAAGCACTGTGTTTGCGACTAGCGAAATAGCAACATTTCGTTCAATTCTAAAGATTGTATTACAGACAGCGTTAATACACGAAGACTTTAGTTTTGTGGAAAATAATTGATATCAACGTGAATCGTCACACTTTTAGTTAAGTATAAACGCTAAGTTAATTAATTTTATTTTTTAATCTCAATAGCAAAAGGTAGCATCTGAAATTAGTATTTTATAAAGCCTGCGCGGTCTCCATTATTTGTCAAATATTGCCCCGTGTATTAAATACAAAGATAATGGTAGTTTTTTTGTGCAGTTTTCAGGCCTGCGGATTAAATTATGGATTTGAAAGTTCGAAATTATGAACAAATATTATTTCCTCATATTTCTAAGATTCCTGATGCCTACTAGTTTGTTTTTCCTTTCAATCCAGTGACATCTCTTTAGAGTTGTCAGTGATACATACTGTATAACAGGTTAACCTGAAGTGTCGTGTTAACCCGCTTTGATCACGGAGCAGGTAAACAAGGCGTTACGGGTTAACCCGGCGTGACAGTTTAATTAGGTTAACCCCAAGTGTCATGTTAACCCCTTGGTTAAGCAAGGGGACAGGTTTACGTGGCGCTGATCATCAACGAATTTTTTGTGAGCAAATTTTTGATGTGTTGTGAGGTACCTCACAGCATACCTCACAATAAGAGAGGTATATCATACTGCACAATTGTAAGATAATTACCGGACTGGTTCCCAACTTTGGAAGTGAGACCTCCAAAATAGTACGTATTACAACGAAAGGTGGGAGAGTCTGCAGGACTTCTTCATTTAAAAACTGAGCTGCTGCCAGAGTGAAGACTATTTGTGAGGGATCACTGTCCGTGGCAGGACCAAGGCTGTTTAATGCCTTGCCTAAGGTGCTGGAGAAGAGTTCACTCTTTTGGCATTCAGGAGATGACTGGACGAGTTTTTGAGAATGATCCCGGATGGCATAGTTATTGAGAACTACCCACAGCAAGTGACAAGCAACAGCATCTTGCATCAGCTGGCCCAAATGAGGGCAAATAGACGGAACGCGTCCAACGCTACATCCTGGACCCGAGGGTACGTGGAGTGACCTGCCTAGCGACGACTCGGAGACGGAGGATGACAAAGGCGGCGCATCAGCGTGACCGTGAACTAGGAAGTCCTAATCTCTTCACAAGGTCATAAGGTCGTATGGTACCGTGAATGCAATACTGATGCACCCTCTTAGTAGGAACTGTAAAGAGAGCTGTCCTTTAATTTGAGAGAAACTAGAATATGGCTGCATGTATTATATTATACCGACTTTGTGCCGTCATTGAAACGAAAAATTATTTGGGTATTTTCGTTTAGTGATTCCTCGTAGTGTGACGCACTCGCGCCCTCAGCTGCTGGACTCCACTCCCAGTTCCCAGAACTAACCCGCCGAGGCGCAGTTATATAAAAGCTTGAAATCAGGACCCGAAGTCTTCAGCAATGCACAAAATTACTTTTATAAGTCATATTCTCCTGTGGACGTCGCGTTATTATCGCCGCTGCGGATTGTTCCATACGAGCAATTTCACCGGACTGTAACGTCGGTTATGTGACGTTCATGAAAATGTTGTCCTACGTTGCCATATTTGTAAGTTTGGATAGCGTTCTTGTTTTCAAATTCTTCTATCGTGAATTTTTTACATGCTGGTGGTAAGTAGAATTTCAATGGCATATTTTGTTATTTGCGCCTATGTATATATTTCCACATGAAAAATTTTCACCCGTTTCAAGCTTAATACATAAGCCTTCGGTGATGTTAAGAATCGGCGACAGGCCTACGTCCTAATAAATGCTGAAACCGCTATTATTATTATTATTAATATTGTTATTATTATAATACAATTACCATCTATCCATTTTTTGAAATCGTTTTTCAGAGCCGACGAGGGAGACGCTGCCACGTATAAGAGACTCCCCCCCTCGAGCTGTGGTCCCCCAGGCCTCCCCCACCACTCTCCTCTGTGCCGCTGAGGGCAACCCACCTCCTCTGATCAGGTGGGCGCTCACTTATCCACGTGTTGCCACAGCTGGCACATAGATGGCCGCTCACTTATCCACGTGTTGCCACAGCTGGCACAAAGATGGCCGCTCACTTATCCACCTCTGCGGGTGTGATTAGACTAAGTTAATTTCTACGTAATGGTTGAACTTTGATTGATATATATATACGGTTGCGAGGATCGGTATTTATTTTTATGCCTTTGGACGGTATGATTCGAAGCCTATGGTAGTTTTATCAATTGCCTGAATGAACTTTGATATCAACAAGTACTTTTCGGGATCACTCCGAGAACGTAACTCCTCTCGGTAGAGTTTTTAGTTAAACTAGTCTACAGTCAGGTTTAGTACGGAGCACCCCCTGGAGCACCACATGAGGCCGTGACCCGTGCAATAAGCAGTCACGCGCTGTGCAGGTGACCCCTGCTGTGCTGTGCAGGTGACCCCTGCTGTGCTGTGCAGGTGACCCCTGCTGTGCTGTGCAGGTGACCCCTGCTGTGCTGNAGCCCAACACAGACCTAGCAATAATTAGCACACGGTAATAAACAGTTGGTACTGACACTGGCCCAATAGTACTACAATTTCCCAGCATTAGCACGATCACTCTTAATTAAATTCGTAGCGTGTATATCACCGGGTATGTGAGGGAGGCGTACGTTGGAAGACCTCCGGGACTTGTTCAGTCGTAATCCGGGCAGTGATTGGATTCGGCATTGGTTTCTCCTCGACGGTATCTTCTAACGCGGCTGGTTGGACGTCGTAACGCGGTTGGATGCGAAGGGACGTCGTGACTAGGGAGTTTAATTCTCGATACGTGATGGGGCGTGAGTTTGAAGACTCCTCCGTGACTCCGTAGATGCTGGCTTCAAGCATATACTAACTAGGCAGTATCTCCTTTTCTCGGTTATACCAACACGTCGTTCAATCTTCTCTTGTAGCTAATTTTCCAAAGGCGTACTAATTCTTCTCTGATGTCCTACTCAATGAGACAATACTTCACCGGAATACTGTTCCTTACACTTCACTCTATCGATCACACTGGTGAGTCTCAAACACGAGGCTTCCTCACAGGACGCTGGACGATTCTAACAGCGCTCACTAAGTCTCCAAACAGCGCTAGACTACCTCCCAGCACGCTGGTTGACTAACTGCGTTCCCTCTGCTTCTACCTCGCCTCTTATATAGCCCAGTTCGCTACCCGCGCGAGGCGTCACTTAATCTTTCCCTGACGACACAAGTTTTTCCCCTAAGTCCGAGTTTCCTATTCTTGTGTACAAATCCTATTCCTAATCAGGTGCAGGTGCGTTGACTGTGCATCTGACTGTGACTGTATCTCTAGGACTACAGGTGAGTTTATTGCACTTATTTGAACTGCCGGTGCAATTATTAGTTCAATTTTTTTAATTAAACAGTATGCGTTGCTAATTGAATAATTTCCTTGCTTAAGTGAGCGTCAGATTATGAATGACTGCCAAGCAAGGCAAGGACTGTTATTTATGAAAAGATGAATCAATGAATGAATAGATGAAACAATGAATGAATAGATGAATTGATGAATGAATAGATGAATTAATGAATGAATAGATGAATCAATGAATGAATAGATGAATCAGTGAATGAATAGATGAATCAATCAATCAATCGATAATGAATGAAAGGATGAATAAATGAATGAAGTCAGCATATTTATATATTAGCAGAATTGTCCTGAGCCATGGTGCGCGTAGCAGGCAATCCCTTTACTTCAGTGCCCGCCGCGATGTTGTGAGGGTCTTATGAAACTAACGACCTGGCAAATACACTTAAACTACGGGAATTTGGATTAATTTCTTTTTATATTATCGAAGAAACTACATTAAGGCCAACTATCAACTGTTTAACCTACACCAACTATAGACGGAAGATGCTGCCGAGAGCTGCACTCCCTCCCTTGCGCCATTTGGGGCCATTACTTGTGTACGTAGCGCCCCCCCCCCAGGAGCACCATGTGGTACGTAGCGCCCCCCAGGAGCACCATGTGGTACGTAGCGCCCCCCTGGAGCACCATGCGGTGCGTAGTGCCCCCCTGGAGCACCATGTGGTACGTAGTGCCCCCCTGGAGAACCATGTGGTACGTAGTGCCCCCTGGAGCACCACGTGAGGCCGTGACCCGTGCAATAAGCAGCCACGCGCTGTGCAGGTGACCCCTGGACACGCGGCGGTGAGCGCAGGAGGTCGCGTGGCGCTGACGTGTCGCGTGGACGGTCATCCCGTCACGGCCGTCGCCTGGTATAAGGACGCCGTCAGGCTCAGGTACGGTCATCCCGTCACGGCCAGCTGTGCAGGTGACCCCGGGACACGCGGCGGTGAGCGCAGGAGGCCGCGTGGCGCTGACGTGTCGCGTGGACGGTCATCCCGTCACGGCCGTCGCCTGGTATAAGGACGCCGTCAGGCTCAGGTACGGTCATCCCGTCACGGCCGTCGCCTGGTATAAGGACGCCGTCAGGCTCAGGTACTCGAGGCGAGGGCGCTGTCTTTATGTTCCCTATTATTTGATCGTTCGTTTCTTCTTCAATTCAATTTCTTCTTCGCCTTGCTTTGCTTTGTCGCCTTCATAAATCGATCATTGGCCTCCTATTACGTAGACTCCAATAGACGCTAAATGTCACTTTTGAGTTGATTAACGTTATAAATTTTGCCTTCTTTCCCACGTAGAAGGAAAATTAATTGGCATACTCCATTTCGACTCGATGTTGTCGCAATTCCCGGTCAGGTCGAGTCCCCGCGTGCGTCTGCTGACGAAGGAGGAGCTCGTCATTTCGCCCGTCCACGACGACGACGCAGGGCTTTACCAGTGCCGTGCCACGTCCCTCCAGCACGTCACGGCGCAGGCCACGGCCTTCGTCACGCTCGCAGGTAGGGCTGCTTCAACTGGACAACTTAGAACATGAAATAATATGTTCATGCTGATAATTATTGCTCCGTTTTTGACGTGTCTTGTACACTATAGCGATGAACTAAAACTTAATTGACGCTGCCATGGACCAGCAGAGCCAATTAAGTCTCTGGGCACAATGTGTTGCCTGGAACGCTTGTGGTCTCAGAATAGTTCCTCCGTTATGCTTTGTTATGTCTATTGCCGGGGTCACTACTGTCACTAGTTGGTAACTGAATAACTATCTACATACCCGAGTGCTCGCACGAATTCGGCTTATGCCACTGACAGCCTTCCTTAAGAACATCAAACGCACGCGTATCTCGTTGTATAGCGTGATATGAAATAAATATCATGATGCCTCATGATGGCTTAATTTTAAAACGGTTTTCACAAATTTAAGCGATGAATTTCATCACCTTTTTGCATTTCAATTGCGGGAAGTCGGCGTCGCTGAATTAGTTAATTATGCCGTCTCATACAGCCGCTGCACTGCGTCTCGTGTACCGCTGTATACATTACACACGTCGTCTCACACAGCGTCTGCACCGCGCCTCGTGTACCGCTGTATACATTACACACGTCGTCTCACACAGCGTCTGCACCGCGTCTCGTGTACCTGTCTCTTATACACATCTAGATGTGTATAAGAGACAGCTTTAGGACATTCAACTCACGTGGGTCTCGCCGCATCGCTTCCCTATCGAAACTTTTATTCCTGTCAGCCGCTGGCACAAGGACGCCCTAAGTTCTTGTTACGGTGTAAATTAGAAGCTCTATGTCCGCTTTAGGTTTCGGTTGTCGGAGCGAAATAAGTGCCGGAATGGAATCTTGTGAAATTACCCGTCGAGCTTGGGGCGATCGTGGGGCGCGCGTAATAGGTACCTGATACGTTCGGAACAGACACGGCCGAATCTGAAAAATGCGTTAAAAATGCCCCCTCTCTTCCCCCCTCATGGGGGGAACGGAGAAGGCATTTCAATCTCTGCACGTTATATATATATATATATGTGCAATCTATATAGTACTACTAGCTTAGTTTTAAGAAATATGTTGTTGGCTCAATCCTTACGCCAGCTAGACCCAAACATTCTTGCTCACTTGTGGCTCGTGTCGTCCTTCAGACCCCTTTTCTCCCCTTCCCCAAGGCTCAAGTCATACGCGAGTTTCTTACTTAAAGGGTGTAATTCTTTAGTGTTGAATTCTCAAGTCTAGCGGCTTTCCTGAAAATACATCAATAACGAATCAACGAATGTAACCTAATGGACTCATAAATAAATACAAATAAATACATAAACAGTTGAATATCCTAATTTTAGACCAATACAGAATATATTTCCACCATGGTTTACAGCCTAAGATTTAACGCCTATTTAAACACATTTACATTCAAAGAGATTTTTAGCTACCCTGATTACACACTACACCCACCTCCTTCACGGTTCCGCACAACAATGACAAGCCGGGATGGCGGGAACTTCTAAGCACCTTCGCGCTAAAATCTCATGCCAGCTACTGAGCAGGGTAAGCCAATGTTGGCCTGACCAGCCACTGATTTCGTGTGTCATTTGACCCTTATATTTTTTAATTGTCCTCCTAATACGTAGCATCCCTATAGACTTGGCACTCTTCTGTCTTCGCTAATGTCACTTTTGAGTTGATTAACGTTATAAATTTTGCCTTCTTTCCAGTGTAGAGGAAAATTAATTAGCATGCACCATTTTCAACTCGGTGTTGCCGCAATCCCCGGGCAGGTCGAGTCCCCGCGTGCGTCTACTGACGAAGGAGGAGCTCGTCATCTCGCCCGTCCACGACGACGATGCAGGGCTTTACCAGTGCCGTGCCACGTCCCTCCAGCACGTCACGGCGCAGGCCACGGCCTTCGTCACGCTCGCAGGTAGGGCGACATTAACTGGTTCTCTTAGAACATGAAATAATATGTTCATGCTAATAACTATTGTTCACTTATGACGTGTCTTGTACAGCAATGAATTAAAACTTAATTGACGCTGGCATGCACCAGCAGAGCCAGACCTCTGGACACAATGTGTTGTCTGGAGCGCCTGTGCCCTCAGAATAGTTCCTCCATTATGGTTTGTTGTGTGTGGAGCTGTGATTCTGCGCCCCTGCTGTCACTTATGTCACTGTTGTCACTGCTTGGTCTTGGTCAGACACCTGCACTCTGTCACTAGTTGGTCTTTGACCCGCTATTTACACACCCAAGTGCCCGCGCGAACACGACTCATGCCACAGACACCCGCACTCTGTCACTAGTTGGTCATTGACCTGTCATTTACTTACCCAAGTGCCCGCGCGAACACGACTCATGCCACAGACACCTGCACTCTTTAGGACATTCAACTCACGTGGGTCTCGCCGCATCGCTTCCCCATCGAAACTTTTATTCCTGTCAGCCGCTGTCACAAGGACGCCCCAAGTTCTTGTTACGATGTAAATTAGAAGCTCTATGTCCGCTTTAGGTTCCGGTTGCCGGAGCGAAATAAGCGCCGAAATGGAATCTTGTGAAATTACCCGTCGAGCTTATAACAATAATATTTAAGGAATAGATCAAGACTCGTATCTTAATCCTCACCTTCTTCCATCTGCCATACGCTCGACATGTGGAAATGTTGGACCTGAGAATATTGGAAACGGAATCAAATGAATCTGAGTGAAGGGATTAGCTGCGCCGTCAAGAAAATGCTGCGGATCGGCTGCAGGATGAAGTTCACTGAATGCAGAGGAGAATTAATGCTATTCACTTATTTTTATGACTGGGCCGCAGAAATAAAATCTTATTGGAAGCGCCTTGTGTCTTCGCAAAAATATTGAAGCTCACTAGCTGCTGCCGTGTGCATGAGAATTTATTCACATTTTTCTGAGACATGGTCGATTGCTATAAAGATTTGAAAAAAATACAATTTATTCTTTAACGGTCGACGAAATTCTGAAATGAAATCTGAAATAAATTTTTCATCACGGGCCTAGTGGATTTGGCTTTCTCGCTGGAAGAGTGGTTTGAAGATTTGGGGAAAATGAAGCTGATTACGAGAATTGGTCTATTAAGTGGAATAAAAACGCTGTTAAAGCGCCTCGCTAACAGACTCTAGGCATCCTGTTGAGAACAGAAATCTTGCGACTCTTAAAGGACCAGCAAAATTGCAGAAGCCTAAGAACGCCTTATATGTTTCAAAGGAACGTCCGTAAAGCAAGACTTGCGTGCTATTTTATGTGCATTCAAATATTTATGTCGGCCTCAGCAGACGCCTTCAATGCAGCGCGCTTAGAATTTCGCCGCATCAGGTGATCCTTTAAACTTACGACCGAGCTGGTGCTTTGGAGGGGAGACTTCTTAGGATTTATTGAGGTAAAGTATCGTGCATGAGCTTCATTGGCACGTAATCGGAGGAAATAAAGGAATTCTTTAATGGAAATGTGTTACCTAATAGTAAAGTTTTTTTTAGAGTGAGGGAATTTATAATAATTTAGAGACAATTTGAGCTATCAAGGGTTCATCGTATCAAGATTGTTAACTTCAATTCCGAAAAATGAATTATAATAAATTCCAGATATATATGAAGGCACTATTACCTTAATTTTCAGTACTTATTATCATTTGAAATAGTTAAATCTTACTCCCGTTGTTGTAGTGAAGACTGTCGCAATCCCCGTGCAGGTCGAGTCCCCGCGTGCGTCTCCTGACGAAGGAGGAGCTCGTCATCTCGCCCGTCCACGACGACGATGCAGGGCTTTACCAGTGCCGTGCCACGTCCCTCCAGCACGTCACGACGCAGGCCACGGCCTTCGTCACGCTCGCAGGTAGGGCGACATTTACTGGTCAACTTAGAACATGAAATAATATGTTCATGCTTATAACTATTGTTAACTTATGACGTGTCTTGTATAGCAGTGAACTAAAACTTTATAGTAATGTCGCTGCCGCTCGCAGGTAGGCGACATTAACTGGACAACTTAGAACATGAAATAATATGTTCATGCTAATAACTATTGTTCACAATTGACGTGTCTTCTATAGCAGTGAACTAAAACTTTATAGTAATGTCGCTGCCGCTCGCAGGTAGGGCGATATTTACTGGTCAACTTAGAACATGAAATATTATGTTCATGCTAATAACTATTGTTCACTTATGACGTGTCTTGTATAGCAGTGAACTAAAACTTAATATTGATGACGCTGCCATGGACCCGCAGAGCCAAGCCTATGGGCACAATGAATTGCCTGGAACGCTTGTGCCCTCAGAATAGTTCCACCATTATGCTTTGTTGTTGTTGAATTATTTATTATACACAGCTTCAACAATTATGTTGAAGCTGTGATCCTGCGTCACTGCTGTCACTGCTTGGTCACTGACCTGCCATTTACATACCCAAGTGCCCGCGCGACCACAGCTCATGCCACAGACACCTGCACTCTTCAGGTCATTAACCTCACGAGTGTCTCGCAGCATTGCTTGATGTAGAACAAATTCTCGTTACGCTTTCTGCTTTGAAACGAAATTCGCAATTTTAGGCAATAAATTCGATCAGTTGGTTGCATTTCCAGTGAAGTCAGCGGTATTGAATTCATTAATTGTGTCATCTCACACAACCGCAGCACCTCGTCTCGTGTACCGCCGTATACATTACACACGTCGTCTCACACAGCGTCTGCACCGCGTCTCGTGTACCGCTGTATACATTACACACGTCGTCTCACACAGCATCCTGGTGCTGAAAACGTCGCCAATTCTTTGATACTTATTTCCATATCTTCTGGCCCAAACTCAATGTTCTCCAACCCCCTTCCTCCTGGTAGTTCCTGGAGAACTTCGATTTCGTTCTCCTCCTTTGTGTAGCGAGGGTTACTGAAGACTGATTCAAACTGTAATCCCAGTAACTCACACATACCCTTGTCATCTCCTACAAGGACATCGTTATCCTTCAGCGGACCCACTGGCGTCTTTATTTTAGCTTTGGACTGGGCGTATTTGAAAAAGTACTTCGGGTTTTCTCTGATTACCTCCACTACTCGTTCCTCGGCAGCTTGTTCTTCTATCCTATGCGATTCCTTCTATCCTATGCTTGCAAGCTACATGTTTAATAGTATACCAGCACAAGAACGGATGGTTGTATTGACAGTTGCTCCCATTTTTGCATCCGCGTTGCTTTTTGCTTCCAAATGTTGAAAATTTGTGACATATCTTGGGGTGAGAATAATTACAGATCCTTTCTTCATTCTCCCAGTGAAGAAACTTCGATTCGCTAGGAAGCACTTGATAAGTCAACAGGTGCTGGTGCAAACAAGAGAACACAATATCCTGGATCTATTCTTCACCAGCAATGAAGATTTGGTTGCTGATATTCATGTTGAGGAGACCGCACTGTAGACCATCGACTAGTGGTGGTTGAGACAACTATTGAGAGGGGAATCCAGGCCGGACCTACACCTCGATAGGAGCTAGCTGGGCTAAATTTTCCTTGGCAATTGGAACGAACTCATCGAAATTGACTGGAGATCCGAGTTCCTGGAGTTAAACGCCGAAGCAATGTACAACAAGCTGTGCGAAGTATTACTGCAGGTAAGCGCGCATCACACGACGGGAAAAACGACCCCAAAACGGCACATACTTCCAAAAGACAGACGGATCCTCATGAGTAAACGAGCAATCTTGAACAACCAGATAACGGCCGCCTCCAGGAATATGAAGAGGCGAAGGCTGGAACATTCATTTCAACAAATATGCCCAGTCAAAGGCCAAAATCAGAGCCTCAGTGAGGCTCTGAAAAAGAACGATGCCCTTGTTGTAGGCGACCAGGGCATGCGCGAACTTCTGGGAGCTCAATTTGAAAAAATATTCAGCGAACCCCGATACTCAAGACAGGAGAACGAAATTGGAGTCATTCAAGACCTACCAGGAGGGCGGGAGCTGATGAACATTAAGTTTGAAATACCGAATCCAGAGAAGAGTATCCAAATATTATCGACGAATTCTGCTCCCGGGCCAGATGGGGTCCCTGTAGTGTTACTGAAAAAATGTGTCGGTACACTAAAGGTCCCTCTGACCTTGCTCTGGAAAACATCATTGAGAGAAGGAAACGTTCCTAGTGACCTAAAATTAAGGCTAATAACCCCAATCTACAAGGAAGGTGCGAGAGACAAACCCCAAAATTACAAGCCGGTTACATTAACATCGCACGTATTCAAAGTATTTGAGAAAGTTGTTGCCAGAAGGTTTGTGCAGTACATGGTGGAAGCTGGCCTTCTCAACAGAAGGCAACACGATTTTGGACGAAATCGCTCCAGTTTGTCTCAGTTACTAGAGCATCACCACCAAATCCTGGCTAGAGGAGGGGACCGGGGTAGGCGTGGTGTATTTGGACTTAACGAAAGCGTTTGATAAAGTTGACCATGGGGTGTTCTTAAGAAAATTAAGACTACTGGTGGCCGGAGGTGAATTGCTGGATCCACAGCTTCCTAGCAGAATGACTATAGGCTGTCGTAGGAGGCTCGAGATCGAGCGAGGCAAGGGTGAAGAGTAGTGTACCACAGGGAACGGTTCTCGGCCTAATCCTCTTCCTCATTCACATCGCCGACATAGATGTGGCAGTGAACCACGACACTGCATCGTCATTCGCGGACGACACCAGGATATTAATGACCATCACGGACAGGACGGACAGTCACAGCTTCCTAACAGAAAGACTACAAGCTGTCGAACCAGGATACTAATGACCATAACGGATAGGAGGGACTGCGAGGGGTTGCACGAAGACTTTTCTTCAATAGATGATTGGGCCCAAGCGAACAATCTGCAGTTCGATGTGACCAAGTTTGAGGTTCTGATATAGAGAGGCAGCGGAAGAGCTGGTATGGAGCACTGCTACCTAGCACCTGACAATTCGGAAATCGAAAAGAAGTAACTCGTTCGCGATCTAGGAGTGTTGATGAATACTCAGGTCAAGTTTGGTGATCACATAGGTAACGGCAATAACCGCAAGAGGTAGGCGACAGATGGGGTTGATCTGGCGGACGTTCAGAACAAAAGAAGCGGAACCGATGAACACACTCTTTAGAGCCCTTGTAATACCAATTATTGAATACTACTGTCAGCTCTGGACCCCGTTCACACTCAGCGCAGTTCGGCAACTGGAAGGTGTCCAGCGAACCTTTACTTCCAGGGTCAGAGGGATGGAAGAGTTGAACTACTGGGAGAGGTTGAGGCACATGGGTCTGTACCCACTACAGAGGAGACAGGAGAGGTAGGTCATTCTGTACACATGGAAGATGATAACTGGAATGGCGCCAAACTTCGAAAGCGAGACCTTCAGAATTGAGACATATCATAACGAGTGAAGGGGAGACTTGCAAGATCCCCCACTACGTAACAGATCTGCAGTCAGATTTCAATCTTTGCGGGAAGGATCACTTTCCGTGGCAGGGCCGAGGCTGTTTAACGTCCTACCAAAAAGACTAAGAGAGTGGGAGTTCACCCTGGAGACCTTCAAGAGACGACTGGACGCGTTCCTGGGCACAATCCCTGATCGACCTCCCCTGCAACACCACCAGCGGCGAAAAGCAAGCAACAGCATCCAGCATCGTGCATCAGCTGGCCCAAATGAGGGCGGATGCGCGATAGTCAGAGGCGGCGATCCATCGTGGCCTGGGACTGCTACGTTCGAAACGAATACTATAGATTCTAAGGGGAGCGCAGTCGTGGGTAACAAAATTGACTCGTAAACAGGCCCTGGGCCTAGCGCCAACCATCAGCATGCAATATCTACACATAGCCTCAGATCAATGAGCTGTGTGTAAGTGACTCATATCAAAACATAGCCACTGCTTCACAGCGCCGGAGCACAACTGGCCGGAACGCAACAGGCCCTACCGCAACAGGCGCAGGTTAGCTTAGGTCAGGTTAGGTTAGGTTAGGTTAGGAGTAGGGCCGGGGTAAGGCGTTGTAGGTAGGGCCTGCTGCGCTCCGGCCAGTTGTGCTCCGGCGCTGTGAAACAGTGCCTGTGACTGAACGGCGCTGTTATGGTGGGCGCTTTGTGTCGAAAGCCGTGAAGATGCCCGGCTGCGTTACGCTCGGGAAGGTATATGAATCGCACTGAGGACTTGGGCTATGCTGACATCTAGCTATCCACCCGATTCTGAGGACTAAGCTAGGATACTGTGCATCTGACTGTACCGCTACGGGTTCAGGTTCGTTGACTGTACATCTGACTGTGACTGTACCTCTGTGGGTGCAGGTGCGTTGACTGTGCGTCTGACTGTGACTGTTTCTCTTCGGGTGCAGGTGCGTTGACTGTGCACCTGACCTTAACTGTACCTCCAGGTATACAGGTGCGTTTATTGCGCTTATTTGCACTGCACGTTCACTAATTTGTTCAATTATTCCTGAATTAAACAGTATGCATGGCCAATAGAACAATTTTATTGCTTAAGTGAGGGTCAGATTATGAATCATGGCGAAGCAAGGCAAGGACGGCAAAATGCCATCGTGCGCGTGGCAGGCACAAGGGCTAATCCGTTTACTTTAGTGCCCGCCGCGATGTTGTAAGAGTCTTGCGAAACTAACGTCTTGGCAAATACACATAAATAACGGGAATTAGGATTGATTATTTTGAAAATTATCGTAAAAAATAATATCAAGGCCAACTATCAACTGTTAAACCTGCGCCAACTATATTAGGAAGATCCTGCCGAGAGCGGGTGACCCCTGCTGTGATGTGCAGGTGACCCCTGCTGTGCTGTGCAGGTGACCTCTGCTGTGCTGTGCAGGTGACCCCTGCTGTGCTGTGCAGGTGACCCCTGCTGTGCTGTGCAGGTGACCCCTGCTGTGCTGTGCAGGTGACCCCTGCTGTGCTGTGCAGGTGACCCCTGCTGTGCTGTGCAGGTNCAGCGTGTAGGGCAGGACGGGACGCTGGAGGTGAGCGACGTCAGGAGGGATCAGGACCAGGGCTCCTACTCCTGCACCGCCTACGACAGGCAGGGCCAGTCAGACTCGCAGGAAACTTTCCTTCAAGTTGTGGGTGAGACTTGATCTTTGCTGCTACTAAAATGCGTCTTTTGAGCCGCAAATCGGTCATTTGAGCCTCCTTTTCAGACTATAACGGGGCCTTTTTTCAGAATTGGATGCCACAGTCGTCAGGGCTGAGCATAAGATTATTTATTTTGATAGAAATTTATTAATCGTTTTCAAATAGATGCCTAATTAATCCATCGAAATATGAAAAACAAAACAGTTAAAATACTGAAGCTGAAAAATGCGTGCTGGTTTGAACATTTTAGCAAATTGGTAACAATAATTGACAATAAGTTTGTTTATTTGTCTGTTCAGCCCCTAGTATTGTTGACCATGTGTCACTCCTTCACAGAGCGTTGAGGTGAATTTGACTCCCGCCTTAGGAAGTAACGCTCAGTGTAAAATATTTCGGATAAGCTTGCTTTGTAAATATAAGTTTTTACTGGATCGTTTGTGCAAAGAAACTTGCTTTTTTAGGTTTTGGGAACTAGTATTGACGAAATTGTATCCATGCTGACGATGCGTTAACGTGTCCCTGTGTCAGTGCCTCCCGAAGTGTTGCCCTTCGACTTTAGCGGTGTTCACGGTGAGGGTGAACGCGTAGGCGCGTCCTGCATCCTAAGCAAGGGCGACCCACCTATCAAGATAAGATGGACTAAAGACCGAGTCCCTCTCGAGAACCTGAATCTCCCCAACATCATTCTTATCGAAAGCATCGAGTTCTCTAGCATGCTTATGATCACCAGCCTTACTGCCGAACACTCAGGGCGCTACGCGTGCTCGGCCAGCAATGGTGTCACTGAGGCCCGACACGAGGCTGATCTCTTCGTCCATGGTACCGGAGGAACCATCACCATCACCATTGGCTTGTCTTGCACTAGTGGCTGCTGGTGGTAATGGATGAAACACCACCTCGTTCACTATGGCGTCTCGATATATCTTTAATTTAAAACACAAACTTTCAGTCCCTCGTGATTAGTAAAAAGTAATTTTTAGGCTGAAATTAAACCCGCACATCGAATGTGATCTCTATATGAACGTCAACTTGAAGTGGACATCTAACTATGTAACTACTATGGAAAAATAATTTATTCCAGGGTTTCAGAGTTAAATTTGTCTCCAAATCCTATCATATTTGTTTCCAAATTCTGCCCTTATTTTTGACACTCAGGACGTCCTTGTGTGTTACTGTGTGTCACAATATATGACAAGAGGGCGACCTTCCCATTTCAATTCACTGGGAGCGCAATGGCATCCCAATTCAAGCTTCCCCAAATGTTAGGATTACTAAAGTCGACGATCTCACAACCATTCTTGTCATTGATAAAGCCGGCGCTGAACACTCGGGCAACTATACGTGCTATGCCTCAAATGCTGCCCAAACTGTCGCTGCCTCAGCCATGCTGTCGGTGCAGGGTACGATTTACTTTTCTCACTCATTGTTACTTAGACATCCTCATCTTCCTTGACCTACACGAACTTTAGTCGATGTCTACTCCATGTTCTGCCTTTGATTGGACCGTCCAACATTGTTTTCTTTCCTAGATTTGTTCCTCATTTTTCTCACTAGACCAATAAAATTGAGAAACAAATTTCTTGGCTTGTCTGATCAAAACTGAAAAGTTTGGTTCATCATTTCTCAGTCGGATTTGGCTGAGTCTTTCGTTTTTTTGCTAAATGTTGATTGTCGTCGTTAGTAGCTTCAGTCTAAATTGAGTTTTACGCACGTCAGTAGATTGTGAAATGAGTCTCCGTGTTGCATATTATTTATCATAATTTCTTTTTAACATATCAATATACCCTGGCATATATAAATTTTGACGTAGTAAAAAAATAACCATTTTCCTTATTAAGAATTATAATTATAACTACAAATAGAATCGTGTTTTATTATTGTTTTTTTTTATTGTTACATACAGCTTCTGCATGCCTTTTGAACTGTATTTGAACGCACTTCAGAAATTGCCTAGATGTCCTCCTAACCAATCAAAGTACGCAGTTATTCTAAATGATGGACCCAATATATTAAATTCGTATTTATTCAATTATAAATTGATTAAATGCGCCGAATAAATGAATAAATAAAATAAATAAACCGTCCTGTCATAATCAGTAATATAAAAAAATTGAATCATTCTCTTAACATTGGCGGATAAAAAGTTCATTTTGAATTTTGCCTAAATAAATACGGATTTATTGAATAGGGTCAATCATTTAGAATAACCCCGTATATCCATTCCACTCTAATAGTTTGAGGAGAGCTAATAAATGCGATTAAAAAATTGATGAAACTGTTTCAAAAAATTTTGAAACAGAAAAGTTTATTGAACCAAATTTACGAATTTTTTTTTGTGTATGTGAACGAATGTACAAAACAGAGAAAGCTATGACTTTTCCGAACCTCCTACAAAACAGTTATGGGCTACGCATTCAAGTCGCCTCCATCACAGTACAAATTCAAAACTTTTTCTCCAAGGCTGATTTCGAAATTATTTCATTGCCAATGGAATATTTAACTTCAAAGAACACCTGTTTACTCAGAATGTATACACAAAAAAAATGATCGAGTTCTAAAGATGCACTGTGGCATTCAGAGATTATAGAGTGCAATTTTAATATTTCCACGGAACATCAATTGTTTATGACACAAATAAAGAGCCAGAGAAAGTTACATAAATGCTTATTCCTTTAACTTGCATTGGTCAAAGCTTCTGCATCGCTGTTAATCGATATTTTCAAAGTTGCATGTTATCGGGAAATAGTCAACAATATCAATTTTAATTTCGAGAAATCTTTGGTTATGTAATATTATGGCTAGTTTATTGGTGAAAAATGATATAGGATGCTACATACGTGTCATTCTTTTTTACTTGGAATTTAGAAAAAGAGACGGAAATGAATTTTATATTCAAGAGTGAAGTAATTTTGATGCCTTAACACTGGAAGAATCAATGATCAATTACTTCAATTGTTGCGATGCCACTAGGGAAATGGAAAAGAGAATATTCAACATGTAACGATAAATTTTATGGAGAAATAAATTTATCGGTCACATTAATGCCCCAACTAATCATATTCGATGTTCTAGAAACTTTGGATCTCTAATTTAATTCGCTCGTCAGTTCCTCCGTCGTGGGTGTCGCCCCCCGAGGACGTGTCTGCAGCCCTTGGAGGTCTCGCTGTCGTGTCGTGCGCAGCCCAAGGCTCTCCCGACCCCAGTCTGTCGTGGAGCAGAGAAACCGGTGTGTTCCTCGTTCACCTCTGGCTCACATGCTGTCCCACATAATTCTCATAATTCTATTCGGACTCTACTGCATTGAACCTCATGTTTTGTATAGGATGTGCAATATCTTCCAATAGTATGTTAATCCATCTACTTGTTCGTTTAAAAGGCGTATCTAATCAAACAAGCAGTAAAAGTACATCATTAGCTGTTACTGGGCACCGTAGGAGACGACACGAGCATCATCTATCTCTTTTGATTTCAGAAAACTGTCTTCGTAAACGTTTTTGTTTCCACCCTTCATTTTTTTTATATCTCTATTATTCATGTAACTCGAAGGTTACGTAATTATGCAGCATTTATCTACACAGTGTAATTTTATAATTAAAATGTGGTGCAAACGAGTATGTTTTCTGCGTTTCTTTTATGAGGCTTCGTAAAGAGGCTAAATTATTGTTTCACGAAAACATTGTCGTGCCTCGGTAGAAGATGTGTTGTTATGGGGTTACTTACCTCCTTCAAGACATTTGATTTATGAAGAGAAACTTCAACTTTCATTCACAAGTAATTGACGTTTTGTGCTAGCTTCAGGGGAATGGGCACCAGTGGACCTAATCAAAAGTTCATCTGTCGAAGAATTCGTCACGCAATTTGAAGCACGCGTTTCTCACCACAACCGCCTCCAGACTTTAGGAGGTTTGCACCTCGAAGAAGATGAACCTGATTTGGACGATAAATCTTCGTATTCTGAAGACCTGGGTCCAATGGAGGGAGAATCTCTACACACGAACGGGCTCGGGAGTTCTGCGTTAGGCACTGTAGCGGATCTGAACGGTACGCTTGTGTTCGCCCACGTGATGGAATCTCACGAAGGCCGGTACCTCTGCAAAGCCAACAACGGCGTCGGTCCGGGACTTTCGAGAGCCATCAGCCTGACTGTGCATGGTGAGTGATTCTTGGGAGTTGTAGGAAGTATTGTGAACTTCGGAAAGATTATGATGGTTCCAAAGAGTTAAATAAATTTAACTGATAATTTTGTCTGTTTCAAATATTTTTCGGCAAAAGTGTTTCCGAACTTCTTTTATTTTAACAGATTTTGATTCATGAGGGATACTAAAAAATATTATTACGTTTTAAATTATTATTAGGCATAAAGAGCATTCAAATCCAAAAATTAGATTTTCTTTTGCGAATAATTATTTCAGTGAATTTTACCAGAGCCTCCATGGTTCCCCGACTGGAGTCGTCGCCTGGTGCGGGTGGAGGTCGGACTCACAGGTACTTACCTCCTAGCAGGTACCAACTCTCCTGGACCAAGGGTGGGGCCCCGCTGGTCCCCACTCACAGGTACTTATCTCCTAGCAGGTACCAACTCTCCAGGACCAAGGGTGGGGCCCCGCTGGTCCCCGCTCATAGGTACTCACCTCCTAGCAGGTACCAACTCTCATGGACCAAGTGTGGGGCCCCGCTGGTCCCCGCTCACAGGGGCTCACCTCCTAACAGGTACCAACTCTCCTGGACCAAGGGTGGGGCCCCGCTGGTCCCCACTCACAGGTACTCACCTCCTAGAAGGTACCAACTCTCCTGGACCAAGAGTGGGGCTCCACTAGTCCCCGTTTACATACATGTACCGTCTTTCAGGTGATCCTTTCCTCTCCCATTCCCTCACCGACACCCTAACAAAATTTAGAGTCGCCCCAGCTTCTGGTAATCCAAATCAGAAGCTGCAGCGTCTGTAAATTTTCACTGGACAGAGACGCCAGAAATACCGGTAGGCTTCTTGAATTGTAGAAAAATGAAGGACTTCCGGAAATGGATAAAAGAACACTTGTGCATCATTCATCACCATTTATTGGACTTTTCTGGACCGCTGCACAGGAATTATTTAAAAGTATTCGACGTCGCAATTCCACGTCTATAGCTCGAATTTTGAGTGAAACGCAAATACTTACCTATAGTAAGAAGGGCTTAGTGGACGATGTCTTGAAAATTGTTTTAGTGTCAAATGATGAGAACTCAAGAATGAAATGAAATGAATTAAGGAAGCACAAATTTGTCAGGTACCACTTGGCGCTCTCGGAAGAGGAAGTGGAGCCGCGGGTGTTGACTCTGCAGATAAAAGATGTGGTCACGTCAGACTCTGGAACCTTGGAATGCCTCGCCGTCAACCCTCACGGTGCCAAAACCAAGAGGTTCACCCTCCTTGTGGAAGGTAGGCGACTGTACTTACCCAACTATATGTTTCATCCATACTACCTCTAAATTAGGTTGATGTGAAATGCTAGTACTCGTAGGAAATTTATTAATTTTATTATGTGTCAAATTTTGTTTGTTTGAAGCCTGGTGCTCGAAATCCGGCTGTTCGAGCACGTTTCTACGATAATTATGGTTTCGGTATATCACCTGGGCCTGATTTTTTTGTGTTGGAATCATGAGATGCAGAGAAATGGGGAGAGGGAGAGAGTTAGAACTTAGAAAAAATTAAGTAGAATGGGAATTTTGTCATGAATGTGGACAGGAAAGATTCTGTCCCGGGAAAGTTGTGTTATGATTTTAAAGTATTCGAGGTGGCATAGCTCAGTGTTGCGATAAATTCACTTGGTTTTAGACGTCCCTGGGCCCCCGACTGAAGTATTGATCACGGAAGGAGGGTCTCGGCACGTCATCTTATCGTGGACGCCCCCAGAGAGTGACGCTGGGGTCCCTACTTCGCTCACTGGATACGTCATCCAGGCTCACGAAGAGACGGATGCTTCAGTTTCCGGTAATTGAGCCACATAGAACGACAAGTAAAACTTTGTAAACGCTACAGATAGTTACCTGCTCGTAGTTACACTACTACCAGCATTTATTAATGCTTTTCGTGCGCCTCCTTCTTTTGTTTTATAACAGGCTGCTGAGCGTTTAATTCAGTGGTGTTTGACCTGAGGGGCTCGGTTTAACAGTTGAGTCCACTACGCTCTCAGCTAATTCCCTCTGAAGAAGAAATTAGCACAATATTTGAATATTGAAGTACTTGAAGCTAATACTCATAGCTAACACTAACGTGAACTGCAGTAGTCACGCGCTTTGTTGCGAAATCGTGGTTGTGAAGTCAGTCGCTTCCATATAGTCTTCCGGTGAGGTTAGACGCGAGCTCACTTTGCTCACTACAGTTCTTTGTCGACCTCCTGTTCTTATTATGAACCCTATGGCGTTACCGTGAGAGCTTCTTAAAATTGAAAAATTACATGAATCAAAAAATGCAAAAATGTGGATCTTGGGTTTAAACAAAACTGGGTTTGAACAAATATCCAAATATTAACTGAATTAAACAAGAAAAGTATAAGTCTAAATCTAATATGGGTACATGTTTATTTATTACCCCAGCTTAATTCCATATTGTTCGTGATGATGTTGATCCAGTCGAGACACCAGACTGTTGCCTTGCCAATAGGTTTTATACAATCCATTAATTTGTGCAGATAGTCAGCAGACAGGAAGCAAGATAGAGGTGTTGGTTTCTGGGTCGAGCCTCAGCCACCGCGTGTCTGGTCTGCTGCCGTACACGTGGTACAGCTTCTCTGTCGCCGCCCAGAACGGCGTAGGGCGAGGTACGAGTTCTGGACCCTTACGACACCGCACCCAGGAGGAGAAGCCGTCTGCACCGCCCAGTAATGTGCAGGTCAGTCGAGCCCTGCGTAGGATGGACTGGCATGGTCTTTCCTCCAATATCTTAGTTTTTCCTTATCAGCTGTTGGCCAAACACGACATATCATATCCTTTTAATTCGACCTACCAGCCTCCAGCAAAGAACCCGGGAATGGTATGGCTTAGCATCGTCGACCTACACATGAAATATTTTTACACCTTGGTAACTTGGTAATTGTTTCGGACGTAGCAGTCCCAGGCCACGATGGATCGCCGTCTCTGATTATCGCTCATCGATGCACGATGCTGTTGCTTCTTTCTCGCCGCTGGTAGTGTTGCAGGGAAGGTCGATCTGGGATTGTGTCCAAGAACACGTCCAGTCGTCTCTTGAAGGTCTCCAGGGTGAACTCTCCCTCTCTTAGGTCCTTTGGTAGGACGTTAAACAGCCTCGGCCCTGCCACATAAAGTGATCCTTCCCGCAGGGATTGAAATCTAACTGCAGATCTATTACGTAGTGGGGGATCTTGCACAGTCTCCCCCTTCTCTCGTTGTGATGTGTCTCAATCCTGAAGGTCTCGCTCTCCTGGTACGCGGCCTCGTAGTTCTTGCCTCGAGGTACGTTTCATTCAACGCGTAAAGAGAACTAAGCTGAATGCTGTTAGTCACATTACCGTAGCTGGTGGTTCAGAGAGCCCCAACAGTAGTTAGAGCACTACCAAGATTATCAAGTTTTGCTTCAATGAAACCTTTAATGGAGGACACTGAACAATCATTGTAATCTAGGTTGGTTATATTTTCACTTATTTGGCGTTTCAGTCAAAATCGGCGAGATTTATTGCACGTGGTTTGCACCTTTTTGCACGTGCATCCCAGCTTATACTTTCTCTTCGCACTCGGGAAATGGTTAGCTCAGCTTATTAGGTGGTGCGTTGCGCCAGATTGTCTTATTCATCATTCTCTACGCACTCAGGAAATGGTTAGCTCAGCTTATTAGGTGGTGCGTTGCAACAGATTGTCTTATCCATCATTTCTCTAAGCACTCAGGATGTGGTTCATTGCAGGTGGTGCGCTGCACCAGCTTTTTGTCCATTCTTCAAGCACTCAGGATTTGCTTCGTTGCAGTCTTGCAGGTGGTTCAGAATATGGTTCGTTGCAGGTGGTGCAGGATGTGGTTCCAGGAATTTGAAGCAAAGACAATACCACAAAAATTCACCATTTCTTAAAAACATAAAACGTTTCCAGCGCCATCGTCAGCTCATAACACAAAGTTCAGTTCAGAAGAAGTTTATTCCTAGAAACATAAGTACAATCAATTAGTAAAGTAAAATCCACTGTCAGATATTAAAACGGAAATAAGCAAATGGTACAAGAAATTAAAGCTAATAAACAGGCTTATCTATTTACAATTTCAGAAGAAAGGAGGAAAAGCGGCATTCAGACTAAGAATCTGTTTGTTTCTAAAATTCGTAGATCAGAAACACAGGATGTGGAAGCAAGAACTTTAAAATCACCATCAGAAACAGAGGTGTTGCACTGCTCCGCATGAACACGTACAGCAGAATGAGAAGGATGAGTAGGTTCCCCGTTCTATAACTCCTGCCTTTATGCTCAGCCAGCCTAGTATATAAATTGTGTGACGTCATACCGACGTACGCTGATGCGCACCACGCACAACTATATCTGTAAACTCATGACGATCGCATAAGAACAGGTAGGGTATCCTTATGCCTGAAAAACGAGCAGATTCTAACATTGTTAACTAACAACACATGAAGATGGTATTCCGGCTAAACATCCGGAAGGTATTTAGCGAATAAAAATTTCGATTCCTCTGCAGGTGGTGAGTTCGAGCTCTCGGTCGTTACGTGTGACGTGGATGCCTCCGCCTCGCAACGCATCGCACGGACGCCTCCTGGGGTACTACCTCGGCATTCGCCTCCGCCTCCCCAGGTACGTCTCACGCCTCACATCCATGCAACAAATCAGGCATACTTGCTACTGATGCAAATTGGCTACATCAATTTCGCTATCTTGATATTTGTCATTGGACAGAGCGTCACATAAGCTAAGAAGCGTCTAAGACGTCTTATAATCCCATTGCTGTATCATAGAGTTGATTGCAAGACGTTGACCTTTTGACGTGTTGCCAGCACGATGGACGACGCAAGTGACGAAGACAGCGCTTACAACTTCACGACGGTGGGCGATACGCACACCATCGTCACTGACCTACATCCTCACTCCTTCTACGATGTCATCGTCAGGGCCTTCAACTCCCGAGGGGCTGGACCCTCGTCAGACCCTGTCCTGGGGCAGACCCTGCAGGACAGTACGTTTTGCTTCCCGTTGCATTGTTTTTTTCATGATCGTGTGTCTCCGTCCTGTGGTTATTATAGAGAAACAATGTGTTGATGGTGACTTATTTCTCCGTTTGATATTTTTAAATGTGTCTAGGGCTGCCCTTGACTCCTGGCACTATGATATGTACAATTAACTCATTAGTACTGTATACATAGTTATGATTATTGTCTTCGCAAGCTGGTGGAATACCACAGAACTCATCATAAGAGGAACGTATTTATAGAATTGTTCCTCCCTGCAGCTCCCAGCAGCCCTCCAGCCTCCGTCTCTTGTTCCCCGTCGTCCGCTCACTCCCTCACTGTCAGCTGGCGTCCCCCTGAGGAGCGCGGGAGGAATGGCGTTATCGTGGCCTATCATCTTGCCTACTCCCCATCATCCTCGAGTGAGTGAGAAACATTCGCTGGTAAATCCCCAATCTACTCGAATTGTTTGAAATTAAATTTAACCTCACTTCCAAAGAGTCACAAAACGACTTGAAAAGTCGTTTTGTTATCAGAAGTAAAAACTGTTCAAAATTCAAATCAGTCACCTATTCAAAAATATTCCAGTACATCACTCGTAATCTTCATAATGAGTCCAAGTAATAAATAAGTTACATCCCCGATCTACTCGAGTTGCTTGAAATTGTATTTAACCTCAATTGCAAAGTGTCACATAACGACGTAAAAAGTCGTTTGAAATGACTTGAAATGTCGTTTATATATAAGAAGTGGAAACTTTTTAATTAGTCGCATAATATCAGAAACATTCTAAGACGTCACTCACAATCTTCATATTAAGCCCATGCAGTAAATAACCTTTGCGAAAGCATATCAACCCCTTTAAAAAATACAAATTTTAAATCAATCGAATAAAGTCTCTAATTGAGAGTTTGTGACGATTATTTATCTCCTTATCAAGGCGTTTTATCCCCCCAAGATTACGGTACAGTCGGTGAATCATCGACCCATGAGATGGATGATGGCATCCAGCGGGTGATCTCGACGAGCCGCGGTGGACGACTGTTGATCGTCAATGACAGTCACGGGACGGAACTGTCGGGGCTGGAGGCCTGGACCAACTACTCCATCACAGTCGCGGCCGCCACGTCCATCGGGGTGGGAGTTTCTGCGAACAGTGTCTTGTGCGCCACCATGGAGGGAGGTGAGCATGCTTTTGGTACTTAAAAATTATTTTTTTTCTAGCTTTCAAGACATCGGGATAATTCTCGGAATTCGTTCTGATTTCCTTCAGAGTTTATGACGAAAGTTGGGTCTTTTAAATATTTAAGTTATACCATTAAATTTCTTGAGTTATGTCATGAAAGTTAATGTGGCATGGTGGAAAAATCAGAAATTATTAATGAAAAAATTCTAGGTTACTATGCAGCAAAAGTAGAAAATAGATGAATCATTGATTAAAATCTCACGGTAATGTTCCCGTTGACAGCTCCATCAGCACCTTCATCAGTGAAGGCCGTGTCTGCCGGAGCGTCCAGCGTCTTGGTGGCGTGGCGGGCGCCTGAGCAGCCTCGAGGACGCATCATTTCTTACACGGTGTACTGGCGCCCCACGTCCAATGCCTCCGAAGTCTGGCCGACCAAAAGCACCACCGTAGAAGGGCAGAAAAACTTCTTGAAGCTCGAAAATTTGAGCGGCGTGCCATTGCAGGTCAGTCTATTTGTAATAACAAATCATCGTTAAATAATGTTACGTGGGCGATTAAGGGTTTAGAAACGGATTTAAAATGATTGTCATTCATAATGTAATTGTATAAATTATTTTTTTCCCTGTCTCGCAACAGAGGGCGTAATTGCAAGTAATAAAATGAAAGGCAACCTTTTCCTGTCCTACAGGTGTGGGTGACCGCGTCGACGGTAGTGGGCGAGGGAAGAACCAGTGCGCTGGTGTCTGTCGTCCCCAGCGACACAGGTCTGTCCAAATCGATACACAATGATTATTTTATATTTTGCTAATCGGTTTTCCGTTGAAGACGAGAGAAATTTTTGCAATAAAACTCTCATTTCGAACATATATAATGTATTAGCTACTCTTTTGTGTTTCTCATCGTCTGAGGTTATGAAGTTAACTGTCTCGCAGCTACCTAATAATAATAATTATAATATTAACTTACCTAATGCTGTCTAAGGAGATCTAATGTTGAAATTTGAAAAGTTGAAGATTAGATAAAATTATTTATAAGATTTTATGATGAGGTGGTAATGATTAGGTGTAATGATAATTGTAATCGTTCCTTTGTCTCAGTCCCTCACTTTATAAGCCATCGTGCAGTATATGGTGGCATTCAGGCGATACACTATATATACGACTCGCATTTAACTACCAAGCAACAATAATCCTTCTCTCATCAACACTTATGCAGTTGGTGCGGGCATTCCGGAAGTGAAATGAGAGAAACGTAAAATGTTAAACCCGCTATAATTCTCCATTTACCCATCATTATGCAGTTGGTGCGGGCATTCAGGACATGCAGTGAGAGCCATATGTAACGTTCAGCCGAATATAACCATCATATTATCCACCATTATGCAGTTGGTGCAGGCATCTGGTCGGTGGGTGGAAGCGTGCTCGTCAATTGGAAGCAAGACGCACTCCTGCAATGCAATATAACCATCCTTTTATCCGCCATTATGCAGTTGGTGCATTAGCAATTTTTAATATTCAAAATATCTGATTGTAATTCAATGACACGAAACATTTTATAAAACTTCAAGTCTTTCACTTGAATCTAATGTTGTCGAAGATATCTTAAATTGAAAAAATCATCACTTAGTTGATTTCCTTACATGTATATAATGATCCTGTATCTAGAACAAATTTTTAAAAGTAAAATGAAAATTATTGTGTGAAATATCGATAAACGATAGTGCACGATTATTAGAATTTTTCATATGAGAAGCATCTTGCAAGTCTCAAAATTGAATAATGGGCTGCATTTGATTGCTTTTGAGGTGCGGTAAGAATACAGAGGCTTCGTGTCAAATGCCTCATTGGCTGCGCACTTGTACAATTTATACGCGAATCGTTTCGATGTATCTCCCTATCCGGCGATGTGTCGTTCTCAACCTCGCGGCTAGCTCGTCGAAATGCATCCATGTTTATATAGCTTGTTAATAATCAATAATAAACACTGCTTGTTTGAGCGCAACCGTAACTTTCATCCTCCGTGCGAGCTTTGATCATGGAAATATTTTCTGTAAATACTGTGCATGAACTAAAATTAACCTAATGATATTTAAAAGGATTATCTTCGGCAACATTTCGTAATTTAATTTCTTCCTTCTACAGGCTGATGGTTGATAACAACGGCTCGTTAGTGATCAGCTCCGTGGACCGCAGCGCCAGTGGTCTGTACACCTGTACAGCGTCCAACATACACGGCACTGATGCCATCACCTACAATGTCATAGTTAGAGGTGAAGGTGCTGCCATATTGATGCCATCACCTACAATGTCATAGTTAGAGGTGAAGGTGCTGACATATTTACTTGAATCGAACCTGAAACCCAGAATTGCCAACTAATGAACTTAAATGCAAACTTCAGTGGAGAATATTTTTACGTATTAAATATTTATTTTTAAATACCTAACCTTACAAATTTGCAGTGAATGGCCGAGCTAAAAATGTAAAATTACAGTGATAACGATTCTTGGTATCAGTGAGCAGTTAAAAATCATGCCTTAAATATACTTAGTGTAAAAATGATAGCAATAAAATAATTGAGATAATGTGTGTGTTGTTCAACAGTGCCTCCTCTTCCACCAAAATTGCACGTCACAGAAACAACAGCTTCGTCCATACGTCTGCAATGGGACGTAGAAGACGAAGGCGGTTCTCGTGTTACGCTCTATAACTTATACTACAGGTAAATTTCTCGAACGTTTACCTCGCTTCGGCTTTTTTCTGCCCTGTGACGACTATACTTATCATGAAACTCATCTTATTTTTTACTACTTGCTATTACTAGTGCTAGTTATCGTAGTTTTTTGCCGTCGTTTATCCCATGGAATATCCCGCTCAAATGGATAATTGTTCAATTACTGATAAAGTCTCTAAAAGTATTCTATGCTCCATTAGAATACTAATAATCTGAAATGTATTCATTATTGTTACACGTGTAACCGGAAGCACCGCCATAAATTCGAAATAATTACGTGTAGCGTGCCGACTTTGGTGGAAACTTCGAATTAGATTTAAACATATTGCAAAAACTCGCTCTTTGTTCCGGCTCTAAATTCATTTGCATCGGAGAGAGGAGAATCAACACGAGGAACTTTTCATATTATATTGGTGATCATCTGGTGATATACAAATTTCTCTGTACAAGGACACACAATTTATTCTTCGCTAAAAGTCCAAGAACTCCAAGATACAGGATTGCAACCTCAGGAGTACAACGTCGACACGCCCTAATATACTGCAGAGAAACACACAAGTGGACTGCGGGGTTACGGGTTCGAGTCGCACCACGATACCGACAACGAGCCGCAGTTATCAGGGGTTCGAACTCTAATAAAATGCCGATAATAACAAAAGAGGACAAAGGGATGCGGGTTCGAGCCGCATCAAGATGCTGACAACTAGCTGCAGTTATTAGGGGCACGAGCTCTAATACACTACCGAAAGAAACAAATGTTAGATGACAGTTACGCCCCAAAGGCACGATTGTCGAGGGGTACGAGCCCTCGATAAGCCGCTGACAATTTAATCGAGCGCAAAGGTTTTTAGCCCATACGACACGAGGGTGCGCACGTTACGGTTAATAGCTGCACCAAAACGTCGCCAGCAGCTGGGAATAACCAAGAACTCTGCCTACGTTGTATTTAGTCCGTTAGTGCTTATGCCTGGTATTATCAAGCGCTCTGTGAGTCGGTTAAGCTTCGTGAGATATTTCCACAACTACAACAGAGTCTATGTAGCCCAGATCTGGCTCTCTCTATTCGAGTACAAACGGTCGGACCTCAACCCAGTCATATCGAGCACACAATTTTCCCGCCAGGGGTAACTCGTCTAGAACAACCACACTACAATATCTCGTTTACAGCGTAAAAAATGGACTAGCCTCATAACCCATGTCCAAAAGAAGATAATATAATACAACATGATAATCATAGTTTTAATCAATTGTCATAATAATCACAAGTCAATGGTCGAATAATCATAAGCTCATTCAGTCATTCTAAAGAGATCGAGTTCTCCGTCGTTCAAGACCAGTGATTCCCTGAAGGGAATAAACTCGCACTCCGGGCGAGGCTAGCAGCTGGTTCGACCAATCGCGTTAGAGCTACAAGACGTTCAGCCACACATTGAGACACTAATAACTAAATCCTTTAAATTAAAAAAAATAATATCACAGTAAAAAGGAGATTCCTTATTTCTGTCACGAAATGAAAAATATGTCTGCGCATCACGAGGTCATACATAAGTTAACAAAATAATATCACGGTTAAATTAATGAGACTCAATATTCTAGTCACTAATCTAGACGGAAGAAATTCATTAAAAGAACGTGTAGTCAAAACGATACTCCTCAAAATTAAAGAATACCGTTAAATATGTATCCCGCTACACATAGTACTTTTTAGCGCATTTTCTCATTTATGGAAAAAAGGGCTATTGTGCTCGCCATGTCAGTCCGTCCGTCCGTCTGTCAATCTGTCTGTCCGTGACTTCACGTTTTCGTCGACGAGAAAATGCGCTCTCTGTTACTCACTGCAGTGAGTACTGAGTTATATTTTTCCGCACTAATCGTTTTCATTTTCAATTATAGGACAGCTGACGGCGAGGCTGTACAACTGGCTGTGCAAGACAACAGCCATACAATCTACGGTCTCGAGTGCGGGACAGAGTACATCTTCTACATCACTGCACACAACGATATAGGTAATGCAGGGGGCTGTCCCATCTCCCACTTCGTTGTCCAGCTCCGCGACTCCAGCAACCACTGGACCACGGGTCAGCTCAAAGTGAAAATTTTCAAAGCTCGAAACCTAATGAAAAATTTAATGAATTTGATATTTAATGTGTACTAAACTATAAGCAATCAAGGTTTGTGCATTTCTTAAGTACATTTACATCGGACGAGATATGTCGCTCTGATGAATGTCGCATACCATCCGAGTTCGTTCAATGGATAAGCGGTCATTTTCATGAAGAAATTGTAGAGGATATAGATTCATTGGTGATTTTTAAGTTGTAATGTATAAGGTTAAGGATTTGATTTTTTTCATCTTCACTTTTCAATCACCTTAGCCGTGACATCCAGCAGTATTGCGTTTTATTTAGGAATGTGTCTAGTGTTCATGCCGTGGAGTAAGGTCTCAATATTGAACTCAATATTTGGACTCGATTATTGAAATTGTGAAGTGAATTGAAAGTAATGGAAACGCACGGTTAAGGTTAAAGTTAGGTTAGGATTAGGGTGTTATGTTTGTTGTGTTTTGTTTCTATTTATTCATCGTTAATTATATTTTCTTTCAATTGTTTATTTTTTGAAAATCCTTGGCGTAGAAAATCTGATTGAAGAACGATCACGTACTATGTATCGGAGAGACGTTATTTTGTGAAGAAATAGAAAGTCCCCAACAGAATGATAGCCATGAATGAGTAGTGAAGGCAACCCAAATAAAAATTAAGGGTGGCGCATCGATGATTATAGGCGGCGATGGTAGATTATATGTGGCGTAACGGTGAGTGGCCACTTCTGCCGAAAATCGACAGTGAAACACCAATAAATCGAGAGGGTGAGCTTCTTTCCTGTAAATCTTTACTATGTCTTGCTTGAAATATGTGCTCTCTGAGTAATTTTTATGTCAAAAAATATCCCTTTACGATTCGGTTTTCTATCGCTGACTTCGATGGTGAAATTTAATTATTTGTGGGATATATGCTTAAACCCTCAGTTAATTATTTTGAGTTTAAGTCAATATTTCTAATAAAGTGGTCACGGTATTTTTCCTATGCAAAAGATTATAGATTAGGCCAGAGAAAAGTAGCGAAACGAAGTGGTGAAGGTATTTCACCACTAACATTTCAAAATCATCGATTGATATCAATTCCTTATTTCACGCTAGAATATTCTTGGCGAAAATTTTTCAAATCGAACCTCCGTCAAAATTGGTGTAATGTTAACGTTATGAAAATTCGATGCTTATGAAATATTTTCCCGTTGCCTTTACTCTGAGCTGAATCATCATTCCTTATACATAAACGAAATTTCTTTCGGCATCTGTTTACTCGCGTATAGCAGCTTGTTCAAACAAAATTGTTAATAAAACCATCTAATCATTACGTTGGGAACATTAACTTCTATCATTTCATGAAATTAATACTTGCAATACTTCAATTAAGTATTAAAATGACTTAAAATGACTGGCGTGCCAAGTCCTCTCCGATGGCTCAACGATTAAGGGAGATCGCAGTTCAAATCCTGCAGGCTGGGACTTTACTTCAGGTCGATTTCTCACGAAGTATGTGTCTGGTACTTTTGTAATTTGTTCCTGCTACATGTCTGACATTGTTACTTGTACTGCCATGGTGGATTTGCCTTCGTAGTCCTCTGAAAGGTGATTGTATGAAGCAATATCAGTAAATGCAAATACATCGGATTTGAAACTAACAAAAAATTTTTAATCGATGCGCCACCGGTGCCAATGGGTAGTTATTGGTGGAAGTAAGGTTTGAGCGCAAACGTGACCACAGGCATGTCATAGGTGTGGGATAGGTGGATGACGCCACCCTTAATTCTCTGTAAAAATCATAGTTGCTCCATCTATGGTGTCCGCCGATAGCCATCATAAGGACATATAGGTGCTCCACTCTTAATTTTTAAATGGGAAGCGACGTAGATCAATAAATTTACGGCGCAATGATCATCCACTTTCAAGTGGATCAAAATCCACTTTCACTGCATGAGACATCATATATGTGATATGAAAGTCTACGGTGAACACTCGTAGTATTCGAATATCTATGACGTGTTTCGGTATTTCGTAATGAGCGGAACTGTGCCATTTTACCATAGAAGCGAGCAGGAAATGGGTTTCGAGAAAACAAATGAATCAATTACGAATAATTTTTTTGTTTCAGTGAGCTCGGAGGTGTTGCCGAGCAGGACGTTCGCGGTGACGGGCTTGTCGGGCGGGGTGGACTACGACATTCAGGTTACGGGGCACAACGCAGCCGGCGCCACCAAGGCGCTCTACTCCATCTCTACCCCGCTACCACAAACTGATGGTGAGTTCCACGTCATAAAATTCTTTGAGTTATATTTTTTGGTTTTGAAATTTCTAGTGAGTTTTTTTCACATCCGTTCCTTCGATGGGCTTTGCAGCTAAGCTTGGGAAAAATTGACAAAAGTTAAAGTAATTTTAAAGCTTGCGATCACCACGTTTACGTTCAAAATATAGGGACATTTTGATGCACCTATTTAACAGATATCAGAGTCAAGGCAAATACATGTTACCAGTACATAATACATGGACCATACCAAGTGAGCACATTTGTTAGCTATCTGTTCAAAGTATTTATTCTGCCATATCTGTTAGGCGGCCATATTAAGCGCCCCTGATTCAGGGATTCGTTGACTAAGTGCGTGAGGTATAAGTAAGACACCATCTGTCCAGAAAACTTATCTTGGTACTGGGTCGATACTTCAGTGTTATATTAGACGTATAAGCAGTGGTGGGCACAGTTCGCTAATCCGCTAACTGCTAATACGCAAAGATGACGTTTTACTTAGCCGGTGTGCCACACTGATGGCTGACTACGTCAACATATGTACGTCAATCAATCATGTATTGTGTAACCTATCTCGTCTTTTGTTACACAAGACATGATTGGTAGACGTACATATGTTGACGTAGTCAGCCATCAGTGTGGCACACCGGCTAAGGAAAACGTCGTCTTCGCTAATTGGCGGTTAGCGGATTAGCGGACTGTGCCCACCACTGTGTACAAGGCTAAGACGTCAATCGTTTGGTCGGAGTTGCTCAAACGCGAGTTACATGCATGGCGGCGTCCTTGTTAGTTTCTGGGGCTTGACTTGGGTTCCCAGCCCTTTTATAGAATCCCGATTTCCGCCCACTTCTTTGCTCTTGATCGCGTGATTTGACACAAGATGTTTTCCAGGCTGACTCAGGTCTAGTATTTTTCCATCTATTTCTACTACGTCTAGTGAATATTGTGTCTCAATTACAGATGTTCTAATCTTGGAATATAATTATAATGAATAGAATGAGGCGCCGGATTGACACCGGAGATATCAGCTACTGAGAACTTTCGGTAACTATGTAACTAGTTATCCAATGTAGTAATCATGCCACGATAGGACCAATACTTAGGAAGAAATTAGCAAATTTTTTATACAAATAAGCATAGAAATTCCGTTATCTGTCTTTTCAGGATCACTGACGGCGTGGGGCGGCTCCAGCGGTCACAACAGCGTCGATCGCAACTCGCCGCTATGGCGCGACCTGCGCATTCTCATCCCTATGGCGCTGTCCACACTCGCTCTTCTGGCCACACTCGTCAGGATCTGCATCTGCGTTAGGAGAAGTCAGCATTAGCATGCGCTGGGTCGTTATTTATTCAGAACTTGGAGACAAGACTGAACTGAGATTTGTACCTCTAGGTTGGTTTGACGGCAGCTATGGTTGACTTGATATGACACTTGTAACAGCTATGCCACCGCAGTTTCGTGCTAAAAAAATTGATTTTAACTTTTAACAGAAAGAAATAAATACTAATAATATTTTTTTTGTTGGGAACAGAAGTTACGGGTACGAACGGGCTTATTCAATGTAATTGCTTCACGTTACTCCCAATCAATTTATCCTCATTAATTTCAATCTTTTCTTCATTGATATCAATCTTATCTAAAATTAATTTTTATATATGACAGATTGATGATGACTTCAATCGCAAGTATAAAAATTTGTTTCAGACTGAAATTATTTCAAAGTAATTATATCAATATCTATTTATTCATTTTAATCTCCAACTAGCGTTCTTCTTTAAACATATTGAAAAAAATCGGAAATTATATAACATTTAAAACTCTCATCTATTTAATTCCAATTTCTTTCGTACTCCTCCCTATATCATTTCCAATGCAACAGATTAATTTATTCGTGCACCCTTTTTTTCCGGTACCATTTTTGCGCATTTTCTCATTTATGGAAAAAATGCACTATTGTGCTCGCCATGTCCGTCTGTCTGTCTGTCTGTCTGTGACCACGTTTTCGTCGACGAGAAAATGCGCTCTCTGTCACTCACTGCCGTGAGTACTGAGTTATATTTTTTACTTTGCAGTTGTGAGGCTTAAGTTGACGCTCATAAACCAAATTTTCTACAGGCAAAACCATGACAAAACATAACCCTGCTGATGACGAAGTGGCTGATGGCGGAGCATCGAAGGTTGCTCAGGACGGCCACGACTCTTCTATGCTCAGGGAGAAACAGGACCTCGAAAACCCAGTCAAGACACGCTCACATTTCCAAAGATTTCCGCAGCCTTTGCCGAATGCGGACCACCTTCGGAATGGTAAAAGAAACAACTTTTGTTTGGATAATCTATATAATGCTAGAAATAATTAAATGTTGTGATTGTGTGTTGATAAGTGTATGTAAATTTTGATTATTGGTGCATTTCTTTCATTGAATGTTATTAGTTGTTATGAGGCTGCTTACCAAAATATTTTATTTCTTTCGCTAATGAATTTGAAACATGACAATTTTGGAGAAAGAAAGATCATTGCTTAGAGAGTGGGTATCATGTTGATACCTTTTGTTCAAGATGCACCGCCTGAAACAATTATGATTGAAGTTATAATTAAAATTTTAATTTTTTCATTGAAAAATTTTATTTACTCTCACTTGGAGAAATATTGGATCCGATCCATCTAAACTATGTCTGAAATATTTATTGTATATTCACGCTCCGTATTTGAGAATGAAATAGCTTTGTATGTAAAAAGCCATCGTATAGCTTCAAGGTTCGCAAACAAAACTCCTTCAGATTACCCAGGGGAGTCGGACGTGTATCACTACGCGGACAGCACCTACCATCTAGGGGCGGTATCACCAATACCCCAAGCCCCGCTGCCCCGACCTCCGTACGAGGCGAGGGACGGGGCCTATACAGAGGACACGAGCCAGAGGAGCTACGCTACTCTTGTGTACCAAATACCATCGCTCACATACCGACGTACGCTGATGTGCACTGCGCACAACTATATCTGTAAACTAGTGACGATCGCATAAGAACAGGAAGGGTATCCTTACACCTTGGAAACCGAGCCAATTCTAAAATTGTTAACTATTAAGACATGAAAATTTACATCCGGAATGCGTTTAGCGAATAAAACCTTGTAACTCCTTGGACATAGTCTCAGATGCGGGGCGAAAGTAGGGAAAAGATCAGTGAACAACTTTCCTATTGTCACTCTTGGGAACAACTTCATTATAGTGCTTGGACATAAACTTTTTAATTTGGGTAAACACCAGGTGCGATGGAAAGCCATTTTGCGAAAAGATACTGAGCAAAAATTCTAATTTCGAATGCATGGCTAGGAAAGTAAAGAAAATGCGGAAGGCGCGGTTTATCAATGTTTGGATCCCATTTAATTTGAAACGAAATGAACAAAAGCTAAAAAGCTGGTGCTTAAGCCGGTAAATGACGATTTTCTAAAAAAACATACGTTTGGAAAAGGCCATTAGATTTGGTAACATTGCAATCAAGGAAAGACAAGCTATTATTTGATTCAACCTCCATGGTGAATTTGATAGACTTGTGTAGGAGATTAAGATAGTCAAAGAAAATCCCACATGAGAGGAAATCCCACAAGTCAGAGAAGTAGGTATCATCAATATATCGGTTATAGAAATTGGTTTAAAATCAAGAGGATAATTGGCCAACCAAGTAGCCTCGTGAAAACACATGAAAATTTTGGCAAAGGTAGGACCTACGGGAAGCCCCATGTCGAAACCGTCAATTTGTCTGTAAAACTTGCCAGCAAATGCGAACATTGAGTTTAGCACAGATAATTCAAAAAGAGAATTAAAAAATTGCAGTTAAAACTCATGACAATGTCATTGACATCGTTAAACTTCTATTTTTAGAAAATTAACATTTACCGGCTCAGGTACCAGCTTTTTAAGATTTTTTGCATCATATTTCAAATTAAATGGGATCCAAACATTGATAAACCGCGGCTTTCGCATTTGCTCTACATTCCTTGCCATGCAGTCTGAATTTTAGTTTTTGCGCAGTATCTTTTCACAAAATGGCTTTCCATCGCACCTTGTGTTTACCCACATTAAAAATTTCATGTCCAAGCAACATACTGAAGTTGTTCTCAAGTGCGACAATAGGAACCTTGTTTACAGTTCTTTTCCTCACTTTTGCACCGCATCTGAGACTATGTTAAAGGATTTACTAGGTTTTATTTGCTAAATACCTTCCGGATGTAAATATTCATGTGTTTTTAGTTAACAATTTTAGAATCGGCTCCTTTTTTAGGCATAAGGATACCCTCCCTGTTCTTATGCAATCGTCATTAATTTACAGATATAGTTGTGCGTATTGCGCATCAGCGCATGTCGGTATGACGTCACGTAATTTATATACTAGGCTGGCTGAGCATAAAGGCAAGAGTTATAGAACTTGCACATTCTCCTCATTCTGCTGCACGTGTTCATGCAGAGGAGTGCTACACCTCTGCATCTGGTAGTGATTTTAAAATTCTAGCTTCCACATCCGGTGTTTCTGGTTTACGAATTTTGGAAATCCTGTAAATATTCAAGCAGAAGCTTAGTAGCTCCTTTCGTCCTGAAATAGTAAATAGATAGGCCGGTTTACTACCGTTCATTTCATGTCTCATTTGCTTGTTTCCATTTTAACACCTGACAGTGGATTTTACTTTACTAATTGATTGTATTTGTGTTTCTTGGACTGAAATTCTTCAGAACTGAATTTTGTGTTATGAACTGACGATGGAGCTGGACTCCGAAACGTTTTCTCTTAAAAAGAAAGAGGAATTTTTGTGGTACTGCCTTTGCTTTTAAATTCTTGATTATAATCGTGTGCCGCTTACTCTGCCCGCTATTACTTGAATTTTTTATAATGAGAAAAAAATACTTATAATAATAATAACCAATTTTATCAATGATTTAATGTGGATTGTAATAATTTTTTTTTCAAACTTTATCAACCGTAATGAAGATATCTTTAATCAGAACAAAGCACGAATGAGGAAAATCTATTCGAAAGCAATTGGTATAAATTTACTAGCATTTGAAATTAATTATTGACTGACCCCTTGTGAAGGTCTATTTATTTACCATGATTTCATCTGTGAATTTTTGTTTGCAGGATGATGATCTTTGTTATATGGAAGATCAAAGATTTAGTAATAATTTATACCTAGGTGGAAGGCTCCTCGTCGGACGAAAATTATGCCAGCGCCATCCCCTCGAAAATGTCTCGAGATTACCGCGGGCAGGCGAGGCCGGAGAGTTCAGTTGCACTCCGGGGCGTTGACAAGCGCCAGGCGGACGGCGAGCACAACCTGCAATGGGACAACCGCCAGAGACGTCCGCCTCGACACATTTCTTTCCGATCCCAATGTTATGAGTAATTCTATAACATTTAAAAGTCTAACGGGAATGTAGAAAAAGTATAAAATTAATATTAATGGTAATGGTGAGGTATATAGTGAACTAAAATTGTCTAAAATTGTAAAACAGCCCGAAATATAGTTTTATTTATTAAGCGTATTTAAGATAGACGGTTTCTCATGTGGTATGTCAACCACCTTCATCCGGCTTCGTTAATACATAAATTTGTAGATAGCATCGGCAAATGAATGTAGCAAAGATATACGATTATTTTATACTCAGTGTTGTTCATGAAATGAAAATTCAGAATTCAGCGTTGTGTTCAAGTGCGTTAATATGACGTATTATTAACGTATTAGTTTTTCCTGGCTCTTCTATAAGGTAATGATTTTCCTAATGGATCCTTCAAATATTGTTGGGTCAAGTTTCAGTTCGAAGAAGGGTTTAAGTTTTATATCTCTTTTATGAGTGAATAATCCAGAATCCATAAAAGTCGAAATTTGATACGGGGATATTTTTCTCCGCTTATTAAGTTTCTGTATTTTAATTTTCATTTTGCATTTGTTGAATTTTTTACAAATTTAACCTTGATAGATTGCAAATATTATGTTAATAGAACTGGCTTTTAAAAGACCTCGAATTTAGGTAGAAATACCAGGAGTTAAAGTGGGTTTCCAACGCACGTTTATTTATTGTTCAATACTCATAATAAGATAGGAACTATTGAGTTTTCAATTGGTAAAAATTGGTTTCGTATGAGTGGCAGGGTGGCCCAGTGGTTAAAGTTCTGAGGTATACCAGATTGGAGCAGAGAGGTGCGGGTTCCATCTCAGCTCTGGCGCCGGTTTCTGGTCAGAATTAGCGAGGAGGCCGGGCGGTTAAGCAGTGAGTTGCGTGTTCGAGACCACATCAAGCTGTGAATGTTCCGAGATGTTAAGAATCGGCGACAGGCCTACGGACTAATAAACGCTGAAACCGCTATAGGATATCTACAAAGTTTCAAAGTGACAGAATTGATTTATTCAATATTGATAGTATACGATGTTAATAGCAGGCGAGCTGGTACTACTACTACAAAGATGAATCGATAATTAGATAATAAGTCATTCAACTGAAAAGCTCTTTTCTTTCGACTATCCTTGAAGTTTCTATAAACGGTTTCTAAAGTTTAAAATACAGTTTTATTTGTTCAATATTAATTCATTTTTTTCATGAACTCTCACAAAATTAAATAAAAATAATTTTTGTAAATCGAATTTCATACTGTCACGCATTTGCTTGAACCGCAAATTCACTGAAAAACATAGAAGCAAAGAAAACTCCACAGCCCTATCGAAATTCGAAGACCTGTCAGCCGCTGGCACACGGACGCCCCAAGTTCTTATGGCCGGGTAAATTAGAAGCTCTATGTCCGCTTTAGGTTCCGGTTGCCGTAGCGAAATAAGCGCCGAAATGGAATCTTGTGAAATTACTCGTCGAGCTTGGGGCGATCGTGGGGCTGTCTCTTATACACATCTAGATGTGTATAAGAGACAGGCCACGTACTGATCGATTGAAGGTTCGATTCAAACTGGCGCCTTCCTATTCAATTGCTGCAACGGTATGCTCTGTCCGGATGGGGGGTGCGGGAGGTAGACCCCCACATACCCGCATACCCCCGTATGGCGGGAACTTCGATTGTTCGTGCGTTTACCTTGTTCAGCATCTGACCAGCCCCATCGTGCGATGACCAGCAGCTTGACCAGCTGCTCTTTTTAATCATATTACGCAGATTTGGCCTACCGGGCAATTGACTTCCAAAAGAGGCTGGTAAATAGAAGCAAAACACCCTACGTGGCCGACTTGCTCCTGATTCACCCCTAAGCCGAATATAGTTCCTCTAAAACGACCTTAATCGGCACGAAAATTTTGACAGGAAGAATTCTAGAACACAGATAAATCAGTAATTATGAAGAAAAACTTTATAAAACTAAAAGGTAAAACCTATCTACTAGCAATATCGAGTGGGTATGAGCTAAAAGCTGAATGTAGACTAGGCCTCTGTTTAAAAATATACAATGATTCTAAAATGCGCAAATCGGAAACACCGGAAATGGAAGCTAAAACCTTGAAGTCACTATCAGAAATTGGAACATCGCACTGCTCGGTTTCGCACTGCTTTTTTCGTCATAGCCGAATGAAGGGAGCGCGATAGTAAGAGATCAGGTCTACAACTCCTTCCCCTACGTTCTGCGACCCAAGAATAAAAATTGCCAGGCGTCATCCCGACGTACGCAGATGCACATCGTGCACAACTATATTTATAAACTAGGGACGTTCGCATATGCATTGGGAGGGTATATTTGTACATGAAGAAAAGACCGATTTCAAAATTGTTCACCAATAAAACACGAAATTACCATTTGGGGAGTACTTTGAGAACAAAAGTTTTAGCTCCCCTGACATAGTTTCGGATGCAGGGCCGAAGTATGGAAGAGTGAAATAAACATTTCTACTATCGCGCTCGGGAGCAACCTCACTGTACCGACCGCTTGGACATGAATTTCTTTATTTGGGAATGCACCAGATTGGTCTGAAATCCATTAAGCGAGAAGATATTGCGTAATAGTTCGAAATCAGCGTGCAGAGCATGGTAAGGAGAACAAATACGAAAGCCCCGATGGATAAGTGTTTGAAACCCATTGATCTTAATTAAATAGAATCGAGCAAAATCTAAAAAAAGCTGGTACTGAGACATTCGAAAATCGATTTTCGGAACAAGGAAGTTTGAAACGGCCATTAGATTTCGTAATACTGCAATCGAGGAAGTTAAGTTCTGGCTATTGTTAGATTCAAGCTCCATAGTAAATTTGATGGATCCATGTTGCGAATTTTGGTAATCGTAGAAGAATATGACGCGAAATGGGTGCTTAAAAATAAAAAAAAATGTCATCAACGTATCTGTTGTAGACTATTGGCTTAAAATCAAGAGGGCAATTTGACTGTCAAGAATCCTCACGAAAACACCAAAAAAACGCAAATGTTGAGCAGAGCGGAAGACCCATGCCAGAACCATCAATCTGTCGGTAAAACTTGTCAGCAAATATTAAAAAAAGAGTTTAAAACATATAATTGCAAAAGATAATTGAAAAATTTCGTTTCAAACATATAACAGGTCATTTATGTCCCTAAAAAGAGTGTTCAGGAAGATTTAAATGGTTTCTTGAAAATGCACATTAGGAAACGAATTTTCCACGTCAAAAGAGGCCATAGTTACGTCCTGAACGTCGGTGAAATTTTTTAAGCGGTCCAGGAACGTACAAAAATTGTCTACAGGAGTTTCCATCGATCGTTCATGGGGATAAGACGTGTTGTGCCGAAGTTTTGACAAGTTCCAATAACCTGAAAAGTAAAGTGTATAAAATTAGTAACAATTCAAATGACTTTTCTTATATGTGAATGCAAATAACCTGGTGTTAAAAATAGGAAACTATGACAGAGTCATCATCTGAAAGACCAGAAGAACAACTATTCAGTGAAGCCATGACGGACTTGACTAGGTACTTTAATGGTTTCCCATCAGACTCGCCAGTGATTAGTCGGCCAGCAAGAAACAGAGGGCCAAGACTTCAAGCCAAACCTACCTACCCAACCGAAAGCACAAGTAGGCACACGGAACTACAGGCAGTTCACATCCAGACAGGTCACAAAAAACACATTACCCTCATCAACATATACATTCCTCCAGAACACTCACCGGGTCTACCGGCCCGCAACACTCCCACATGCACTCCATCCATTAAACACACTACCAGACTTGATCCTTGGAGGTGACTTCAACGCAAAGCATCCAGACTGGTACAACCCACAAGACACCACTGCTCGAGGGGTAGAGATCTGTAACCAACTATAGACCTGCTCTTCACCCTAAACAATACACTCACTCCCACTCACATATCACATCAGGCCCTATATAGATCCACCTCCCGAGATATCGCCTTCTGCTCCCCATCACTATCACACAGGATTTCCCGGAGAGCGGAAACAGACCTCTCATCCGACCACTTACCCATTATCATCACACTGCCTTCCACCAAAGGCACCAACTTCCTCACATTACAAACCATTCGCAACTACAACAGAAGCTCCTGCAGGGGAAGAACTCACCAGAGAAACGGAGGTCCGCTTCCAGAAGCTGAACGCACAACCCATCACCAACATTGACCACACTCTCAACCGCTTCAACACCATCATCGCCGAAGCTGATAAGAAATATGTCCCCAAAGCAAACAGGAAAAAGTACAATCCTAATTTCACACCTGATATCTCCCGTCTCATCAGAACACGCAACAACCTACGATACACACCAACACCACACTCACAGGCAACTACAAACCACATCCACGAACTGAATGAACATTTAAAACCTCTATATAAACAGAAGTATTACCGACAGATTGATGGTTTGGGCATGGGTTTTCCGCTAGACCCAACCTTTGCGAATATTTTTTGTTTTCACGAGGTTCCTTAGCTGTCAAATTACCCTCATGATTTTAAGGGGACCGACTACCCTCCGGAAAAACTTCTACAGTTATTATCCGATCATCATGAAACTTCACATACATACGTAAAATGTAAAAAAAATAACATTTTGCTCATATGAATTTTTCGAAAAAATTGATAGAAAACGTGAAATTCATAGAAAACGGCTTAAAATGGGGTACTTTAGAAAATCTATCTCCTCCTACATATATCATCCTACAACATCGAGACACAGCAGTATATCAAGTCACGCCCCGTAATTAATGCCTTAGGAAATTGTTAAGGCCGCCCCCCAACGCCCCCCCCGTTCCATGGGGCGTGGTGAACGTGAAAATGAAGGTAGAAAGATGATTCTGCCACCAATGGAATCGTCAGAGAGTAAGCTTTAAGATGAGTATGAGCACCTGATAATGCCATGATTGGCCGCTTTACGTCAGACGTTCCTTTTTAGTGTGTCCACCCTTCTAAATAATCCCATAGGCTTTACTGAAGGGCTCTAAAAACTCCCTCCTTCGGGGGGCTGTTACGAAATCATTTTTCGACGTAGAGGGATGATTCTGGTACGGTTGGATGCGTCAAAAAGTAAGCTTTAAGATGAGCACAAAAACCGGAAAACGCCAAAATTGAAAATTTTTAGGGTAGTCGGTCCCCTTAAGCCAATATTCTACAGCAGATACGTTGACGTCACTTTTTAAATTTCTGAGCAGCCATTTCACGTCAAACTCTTCTTCGATTTCGATTACTTCAATTCGAAACATGAATCCATCAAATTTACTGTGGAGCTTGAATCTATAACAATGGCCTGTTCTCCCTCGATGGCAATATTACTAAATCTAATGGCCATTTTCCAACTTCTGTGTTCCGAAAATTGACTTTCACTGGTCTCAGTACCAGCTTTTTTAGCTTTTGCTAGTTTCGATTTAAGTTCAATGGGCTTCAAACACTTCCACATCAGGGGGCTTGCGTTTTTGTTCTTATTATGCTTAACACGCTGAATTCAAATTCTTTCGCAATATCTTCTCGCTTAATGGTTTTCCGACTAATATGGTATGTACCCATTAAAGAAATTCATGTACAAGCGGTCGGGACAGTGAGGTTGCTCCAGAGCGCGACCGTAGGGATGTTGTTTATTGCTCTCTTCCATACTTCGGACCCGCATCCGAAACTATGTCAGGGAAGCTGAAACTTTTTTCTCAAAGTACTCCCCAAATTTTTATCTTCGTGTTTTATTTGCGAACAATTTCAAAATCGGTTCTTTCTAGGTAAAAAGATACCTTCCGCATTTGCGAGCGTCCCTACCTTTTTTCTGTTCTTGACACTCGCGCTTGCTTGACGCTAACTACGTCGACGTGTGTTTTTGACAGGTGGGACCAGATAGAGAGTATTCGCTTTGGCGTTCGCCATACTCAGCTTGAGCTAGATGAGCGTCACTGTTATTGACCCAAGCTGAATATTACGGCTATCCATGGCACCCTAAGCTTACTTGGCTCAGCGACTGCTCGCCCTGCGGTCCGCTGCTGCAGCCCTTGATCCATCCGTCTCTGAGAAAATAGATTTACTCATCGAGACTTCCCTCACGCCTCGCAAAAGCTCGTATGTCTTATCGTGGATGCCGTACTGGCCGAAATAGGCGTCCTGTTGCCACATATCGAGCAATGCGCGACAACGGTGTGTTCGTTATCACGTTATTCCTCATGCTTCTATATTAATGATAGTTTAAAATGAGCGGCTTACGGTCATTTCATTTACGGAACATGGTAAATATCGATCAAGTATATATAACGCGAGTAAGGTTGCGGGAACGGACAAAGTTAAATGTATCAACAGAAAAATTTTAAGTCGGAACTAAATCACGCCGATGCTAACCTGAAAAAAAAATTTCAAGTCTATTTCAAATAAATTTAATTGACACGTTTTGCACATAAGAAATATTTATTTGTATTAAAATTTTGTACCGCTGGAAGTTCTAATGCATAGCAATAAATATAGAAAGGTTTATCAATCACAAGCGTTCGCATTAAAGTTCAACTACGGTCGAGAATCTTTATTGAATAACAAAAACACCATAAACAAATGAATCTGTTATAGAGATGTAAACAATCTACATTTTATTTAAAAAATAGTTTCATGTCATAACGAAATGGCATCAAGTTCGCAGCTACGAGCTGCATTACTATATAATATTCAGAAGTTAACTAATTAACGCTTATCGATTTGAGTTGCAATTTTACTTCCTCCTGGCCACATACCGACTTCCAGAACTCTTCTTTCGACCCTAATATTGGTCACTAATGTTAACAAACAGAATTGTTTGATGTGCAATATCACCAATATGCCATCCCTAAAATAACTACATTTTACCACCATGATGTCTCTCTAACTTGTCATCTATAGGCTTATATCCATGCCGAAAATGTAGGTTGGATCGCACATATCAACACTAAAAACCAATTCCATTTCAAATTTGTAAAAAGATAAAAGTTCACAAGCTCTTGCCCGAAGACAACATCACTCAGGAAAATAATTCATTGTGTAAGAATTGATTCCTGCCGAGTTATTACACGAGTCGACCATAATCTCGTTTCAACGACACTCATAACATCCCTTAGAATTTTGCTTTGTATGTATACCTAAGGGCTATTCAAAATATTGAATTCTACGTTTCTGTCTTATTAAAATTTGTGTACGAGAAAACCTTCAATTACAATTCTCGAACAAATAATGAAAGCGTTAAAAACAAAAATATCCGACAGAGAAATTATGAGCAGGACAGAGCAGGACGCTGTTATTATTAAGAAATAATAACTGTCTTTATTCACAGACAATTAGTTCGAGTAAAGCCAAATATGTATCGAACAACAGTCAATAAGATGATGACAATAAATGTATACACTCGCGCAACATTGACATGACGAAGAACACGGGTAAAGTTAACAAGCGAGGCAAGACGCAGCCCAATATACCATCAAATCATCACCATGGGCTAGAGCTAGACTAACCCATGGCCACTATTGTTTGCCCACACTAACCATGTTGAAAACTCGCTAATGGCCCGTATGCTAAATAGGGCACTAGCACTACGAAGTAGCACTCTGCACTACGAAGTGTCCTGTTGGTATGCTAAATATGTCACAGACACTAAGCACTTCGAAGTAGCTCTACAATGTTTAGTGTCGCACTACTGATTCGTATGCAGAAAGACTTTGTAGTGCTACTTCACTGTTAGAGTACTTTATAGTGCCGCACAACGCTATGAGTCTATTGAAGAATGGTAGTTAAGTGCTCAAATAATTAATTACTCCCTTAGTAATTCTCATTCTTTGCAGAAGATTGATGTAAAATGTCTAATTGTGATGATAATGGTACTAGTGAAAACAGAATTGCGAAAAACTCGTGCGTCGTGAGTACATCCTGGCCATTGGATGTCAACCGCTGTGAATTTTTCATTCACGTCGCATGTCACATGAGCATTGATGGAATAAAATCCTTTTCGACAGATATATTCATCTGGATGATATCGCGCTGCAGGTTTCTGTTTGGGGATCAATGTTCCGTCGATCACACCGATGGCATATGGGTGAGTGAATCGCATTCCCCAGTTTTGTTGGGCTTCCTGTAATTCTTCTGCAGTTGTGGGAAAATGTATGTAATACTTGCATTTAGAAGCTATTTTCTCATCTACCTCGAGGATGACCCTACTTATAGTGGACTGATGGACGGATATTTTTTCACCCACGTTAATTTGGTATCCAGGATCTCCAACAGACCTGAGGAAACACTCCAGTTTTTCCTTTCTTGTTAAAGAATGCCCACGCTGTTCATCTGTTTCGCCAAGGAAAATGTTAACCATAAGAATACCATGTTGTTCACTGAAGCGGTACACTTTTTTATATTCATGGCATGTAGTTCCTGAGGTTTTTACGCGATGCTGCCTTTGCTGTAAACCAAACAGATCCATAGCTGTGTAGGACACTTCAGATTTTTGTAGTGCGCGTTATGCTTTTGGCCCTATTTAGCATACCAACCGTAGTGTTCCATGCCGCACTATGGCTTGTAGTGCGTAGTGCTACTTCATAGTGCTAGTGTCCTTTTAACATACGGGCCAATGTTCTGTGTTTGTTAATGTACGGTTTTATCAGTATCACAGACGATCAAATATCGTAAATGATTGAAAGTTAGAATTTAATTTATAAAGATTATGATAAAAAACTGTATGAAACTATTATCAAGATGAAATGCCCAAATGAACACAAAATATATCCGAGTTTCTCGAAACGCGCGCCAAGAATGCCTGTGAGATAAATAGTTTCACATGCTTTTGTTTTCGTTTCGTTTGATTAGAATGTCATTAATTTTAATGTAGCGAAATACAAAAATATGCAAAAAAAAGTTTCAAATAAATTTCGAAGTGGCTTGCGTCGTAGCGATGTTGATATTACCGTTGGTCTTGCTTGTGGTCACAGCACGAATGACTGAACAAGGGGCGTGCTTTCGTATTTGTAAGTGTTTTAAGAGTTAATATTTATTAATATGAAAATCATAATGTATATACGAGAACCTACTTGACCGAAAGTTTAAAAATGATGCTTATGTAATTCAATTCAAATCAAAATGATCCAAGTTGCTCTGCCTCATTGGGAAGTTATGCTGCAAAATTTCACATTTTTTGGCAGCAGGAGGCCCAATAAAATTAATCAGTCGACAGATTTTCGCAATTTAATTCAAGATAAAAATTAAAATTAGGAATATTTTCGTCGATGTAAGTGTGTGTGTGTTGAGTTGATGAGAACTCCAGCCGACGATTTAGAATAAAGTAAATTTACGCTCGTAAATTCAGAATAA